GCTCTTTGATCTTCATCAGTAAATGTTTTAAGTCCTCTTCACTTTCAGCAAGCAAGGTTGTATCATCTGCATATCACAGGTTGTTAATGAGTCTTCCTCCTAAAATATTTCCAGTTGCTCTTAGTTGTCATCTTTTGAGTTCCTAGGATCAGTAGACACTAGACTGGGGAACTCAGATACTCACTCTAAGTACAGGTTGTGTTCATCTGTCTTTTTTTAACCTTCCTTTGCTTACATTTTTCTTTATTTAGATCAGTGTAGGAAAGTGTTGTGATTATCTAGAACACATAGTAAAATCTCTAACAAATTTTTACATCAATCACCTTTTATTCTTCAAAATGTGTGAGAAAACGGCAAAGTAATTCATCATAGAGAGTGAATGTATTCAGATATTTCCCCCCTCACTAAATTTTAATAGAAGAATTATTCAGTATATATTTTACCAGGGAAAGAGAAACAGTCCAAACTTTTTCACTCTTTCTTGTGAATGTTAGAGTATTTGTTGTTGTTGTTACATGCCATGGAGTCGGTTCTGACTCATAGTGACCCTGTACGGGGTTTCCAAGGCTGTAACTCTTTATGGGATCAGAAAGCCTCATCTTTCTCCTATGGAACAGCTGGTGGTTTTGAACTGCTAACCATGAGATTAGCAGCTGGATTCCTAACCACTATGCTACATTTAATTAGGGATGCTCTGTCAATGGAGTCCTGTGGAGCTGGATTGCTAACTCAAGTTGGTAGATTTGAATCACCAATCACGTCTCAGAAACCTTACATAGGCTCACTCTGAGTTAGAACGATTTGACAGCACTTAACAACATCAAAAACAGCTTTGTAAGTGAGATGCAAAAAGAAATGAATAATTTTTGTGCAATTGACTGATCAACTACTGTTTGATGTATTTTCACCAAATTGACAATAGTGTCTGTTTGGGGATATTGCCTATGAAAGCTTATATTTTCTTTCTTTTTTTAAAAAAAAATTTTTTTTGTGAATTGAGTGATAGTTTACATGGAAGAACATCAGTTTTACATTCATCCTATTTTATTTCATTTCACTGCAATGATTACTCCATGCATAATCATTCAATAGCATTTGCTGCCATTCCCTGTCTTTTTTGGATGTACACTGAAGCACTCAGAAACATATAACCATTCAAAGAACCAATGGGTATATCATGCATGCCAGCCCCCCAGCTGCCAGCACACAGCCCGTCTTCATCCTTGAGTCTAGAGTCCCCAGCCACTCTGTCTCTCCATGTCATCATCACTGCCCCCATCTCTGGTATTACTGCTTCCCTGGATAGGGTCCCGTTCTCTGCTCCTCTCCCTTGATGGTCCCAGGGTCCTCCACTCCCGGACTGCAAGATCGACCACTTCCCTCCTTTTGTTAAAAAAGTCTATCTTTACATTCGCAACATTCACAATCAATCCTGATAGCAATTAT